TAGTAAATTTCTACTCTATTTCGGTATTAAGTTGAAAGGAAAATTGCCTTTTGTTCACCATTCTCATATTCTAACCAAATGTTGCAAAAGTTTCAGTTCTTGTTACTGGTAAAGCTAAATGTTTAACATTGTAATTGAGAAAGAAATGATCAATGGGTCATGAGAGTACTACATGCTTCATGTCCCCCTCAGATGCCTGCCGTACTAAACCTTGTAAATAGGACAAAATTCAGGAAGAGGATCATGAAGAGAGGAGGAAAAGACCAACATTTTGTCAACAGATGATATTGTAAACCATTTTATACGATAAGTCTTTACATATATATATATATACATTACTGATACTGAATTATGCAGAGATTAAAGTTTCTATTAGAAACTATAAAATATAGTGATCGGTGCGAGTAACAAAGTATCAGCTGGCTAATGATCGGAGTACCGGCCGAGTTAACAAAAATTAAGTTATTACTATATCGGAAAGATTTATCTATGATTTAAAGCTCCATATCAATATACATGTTTTTCCACTCTTGAATTGCAGGCACAAATGTAACATACTGAAGTAATTGAACATACTATTCATTACATATACCTTTCGCAAAATTCAAAACAAACAATTACACAGGTGATTAGTACTACTACGGGGTTGTCACCCATCTTATCAACTTTCCAAATACACCCACCTACCCACTTGCCCATCAACTTATTTTTGTTATCCAAATGCTGAATAATGAACCGAAATCGTTAGGCTGACAGAATCACGCTCCATGTAAAAGTCATGGTCCCAGCTGAGCTGGGTTTAATATTTTATTTAAAAGAAGTAATTCATAATCATCCGGTTAGGATATCAATTCAGAATATTTTCATAGTGAAAATAAATAAATAAATATATATATATATATATAGTTATGTCAAATTGAGAATGCATCTCATACTGAAAATAAAGTAAATATATACAAGTAGTTTGGCAAATGGTAGAATTGGTAAAAAAAACCAAAATACGTAAAAGGCAGAAGATTTAAATAAAGAAACCATATATATGACCAAAAGTCATTCACAGACCATGAATATTACATTTAAATTCGCATTTCCTTTTTATTTATTTATTTTTGAGTGGTCATACCTTTCTTAAGGTTATATTTCATGCAACGGTACTGACAAAGTCAAGCCACTTGACCGTCTTTGACTTTTACCTAAATAGTTTTGAGACATGGGCTTTATTTAAACTCTTTCGAATTCTATTATTCAAAATTGGAAAATGGTATTGTCACCTATGCAATTTTTATTTTTTGATTTATTTCATCAGACTTAGTAACATGTAAAAATACTCTTAAAAAAAAATATAAAAAAAAATATTTGGGCGTGTAGTAAAATCTTCTACATAATTCACAAAGTCTAGGACCCAAGAGCGGAAAATTAAACTCTAATTAGAGTGGGGTGCCTGTAAAGTGCATGTTTGGTGATGAAAGTATTGAAGATGAAGTCACAATTAAATTATCACAAACATCCAACTATTAATTTATTGAAATAAAACTGATTTCATGATTATTTATTATCAGAAAATCAACTCTTCGTATCTTTGGAAAGTATGAATACACATGCAATTGGCATTTTATTATTTTATAGGGTAAAATGCAAAAAAAAAAAAAAAAAAAAAAAACCTCAACTATTGGAGTTTTGCAAGAAAACTCGTGAACTACAAAAATCCCCCTAAATTATGATTTTGTTGCTTTTTTTTTACTAGGTCGTTTTAACCTTTCTTCCCAAAAAATCTGCTAAGTCTTCACAAAAATCCGTGACCTGCTTTATCCTTCTATATACATATACATATATTCTCTCTCCTTTATGAACTGCTTGTTCAATTCATTTATGAACTGTTTGTTCTTCCAATTTATATATATATATATATATATATATATATATATATATATATATTGTTCTATATATAGAATCTCGATCCCAATCTCCACAATTGAAATCCTAATCTTAAATTTCTCAAAATCATGTTGTTTCTTGTCTCTAATTCCCATGTGTTCCAAATCATACAACTATATATACAAAGGGTATGTGAAGAAGATGAACAGTATCACCACGAGTGGACATGGTGACGCGGCCGGAGGATTTTGCCATCCCTTCTCTCTTTCCTCTCTCTCCTCTCCAACTCCAAACTTGATTACAACGATTTAATCTCGCATGACAGGTTGCAAAGTTGAAGACGAATGGTGAAGGACACCCAAGCCTAGAAAAATTGAGACTGTAATTATTACTGGTGTTCACGGTCACCAAAGTTGCTGGATGCTAAATATTTGGGTTGCCAAAACATTCCGATTTGGTTTAGATGATATGCTCTGCTCCAGTTTGGATTTGGTTTGTATGATGAAACTCACTGAAATTGGGTCAAGGTTCATTATTGCTCCAGCGAGAGGAACGGTGGTGTTTATGGTGGTGGTGGTGGCAGACGGTGGTGGTGGTGGTGGCAGACGGTGGTGGTGGTTATGGTGGTGGTAGTAGCACCAATCTGAATTTGGGTTAGGGTTTTATAGATTCGGGGAATCTATATATATATATATATATATATAGATGTATAATTATATATATAAGGGCGTGTATATATGTTGAACCAAACAAGATAAAGACAATTTGGTATTTTCATATATGGAAGGGCATTATTGTTCAAAAAATTGCTGATAGCCGGATGCGGTGATTTGCAACAACTTTGTATAGTTCAGGAGGTTTTCTGCAATTTTTGTAGTTTAGGGGGTTAATTACAAGTTTACTGATAGTTCAGGGGTTTTTTGCATTTACCTTATTTTATAATCAATTCTTAGAAATTTTTTTAATAAGTAATAATGAATTAAAAAAAGGCCTTCAAAAGGAGAACGAATCCCTTAAACCTTAAACATTAGAGCAACTGGGGTCTAAGGCCCCAAAGAATCCAAAAAAAAAATTAAATCATCGGAGGAGGAACAAGAACTCCTCTTCACATAACTACATAGAGAACGAATAATAAGTTTAAGTGTTACCGTAGACGACTCCTTCCTTTCAAACATTCTACTAATAATTAATTCTTAGAATTAACTCAGCAAATACAATAGGAATCCGTTTACTTGCATCCAAATTAATAAAACGTGTCATAAGGCCAACTGTGTCCCTCTTCAGCTTATTAAAATTAAATAACAAATGAAATATAACTATAAAATTACTATTTTGGGCATTTAACAAGACGATTACATTAAAAAAACCAAAATCTCAAATTAAGATTAAAGATCGAACGACACTAGGTTTTGCTTCAATGACTGAAACCGAAGACGAAACTATGTGACTGAAACCGAAGACGAAACTATGTGACTGAAATCGATCCACGAGAAATTTGATGGTTTGTGCAAGTTCTATGTTTCTTTTACGTGCTAAAGTATGTCTACTTATTCCGCATTTTCATTGAAAGAACTATATTGAGAAACTAGAATCATATTCACTAGGGGCTCAAGCATCTGATACCAAAGTTTCATAATTTCAACTAAATTAATAAGGCTGCGTACAAAATCTACAGATTGATTGGTGGGAAGAGAGAATTTGGTGGGGAATTTATTCTTCTTACCAGGATTAGTTTCTTACTTATATTTATTTAATGTCAATTATCAGAGTTCCACTCCACTGGAAGAATTTTGGTTGATGAATTATTTGATGGAGGAAGCAAAAGAAAAAGGAGGATACCAACTTCAACATGTTCTTTGTTTTGTAGTTTGAGTAATGTTATTTAGACCAATTACTCTATCCCATTTGTCTAGTCGAAAGGGATTTCTATCCATTTGATGTAGCGGATAAACTCAAACATGGGCAAACCCTTAAGCCTAACAAATAGGTTCGAGAAATCAATTTACGAATCATTTTCCTAAACGAGTATTATCACACTATGCATCATTAATGAGGATGTTGTAGAAAATGGTAGGCATCAGCACCACTGGTATAAGTATTAAGAAGGTTTGAGTTTGGTGACATGATAAATTGAATTCTGTACCAATAGATCCGCTCATCCTGAAATATAAATCACAAGTTGGTTTTGAGATCTACTTGAGGTTCTCAGTATGATAAACACAGTTACAAAAATTTAACCCCAAACATGTTTCAAGAATTCTATCTACCATCTATGAAATATATATTAAGAATCGAGGATTAGAGAAAACTGCTGCCCACTGTTAATGACAACGAGTGATGCAATTATTGAAAAAAAAAAATGGACTCTGCTGACCAGACGCACTAATTATACACCGAAACATAAGAAAGAATGCATCTATTTTAATGGGTTCTATCACTATGTGTCCCTCTTTAATTAGTGAGTAATACCATCTCATCACTATACAGGAGCATTTAAGTTTTTCTCGTAAGCAAGGGATTTGGATTTCTTTGCAAAGAAGCACCAAACATCTTGACAAGTGGCGCCACCCGTACATGTATAATAAAAGTTCAAGAAAAGAAACAAATGTTTGGGAAAATGAGGCTTTGGGGTTTTCAATTGAGAATCTTTAGCAGACACAAACTCAGTGGAGGAAAGAATGAAACATGAAAAGTGGAGAAGATGACCAAGAATGAGATTTTATAGGGGTTCATACATAATGGGTTGGAAGGGCATTTTAGACACCGAAAAGGTATTTTGAGCGTTAAATTTGTAATTGGTCACATGTCTGTTAAGTCTAAACGGTAAACTAACAAATGGGGATAGTTTGATTTATTTGTCCAAACCTCAAGTCGTGCAACTTACCCTTGATTATTCCGGTCATGTGTGTGGACCTTATTTTAATCTTTCTAATAATGATATATTTTCACTCTAGCCTTTACTATTGGATTCTGTGATCAAAAGAGTTGTAATCGTTTATATATATATGCCCTATGATTCTCCAACTAAACTACACATTTCACACTTAACAAGAACAAAGCTGCAGAATATATGAGACTAAATTCAACTCAAAATGTTGCACAGAAGGGAAGAAGTGAAGAGCACATGAAGAAGCACAAGCTGGGTCATTTATCACTCAATAGTGGACTGAAAAACACCAGCTCCAACATTCCCCAACTAAACTAAGTCATTTAACACTTAACAAGAGCAGGAATAAAGCTGCAGAATATATGAGACTAAATTCAATTCCAAGATGTTGCACAAAAGGGCAAAACTAATTTCATAAAAGTTAAGGATATAAATTTTGAAACCCCCAAAAGTGAAAAGCACAAGTTGAGTCATTTCTTACTCAATAATGGACTGAATAACACCAGCTCCAACAGTCTTTCCTCCTTCTCTGATAGCAAACCTCATCCCCTGCTCACATGCCACCGGCATTATCAGCTCCACAACCATCTTCACACGGTCACCGGGCATAACCATCTTCGACTCCTCATCCTTATCGTTCATTATAGAGGTGACCTTCCCTGTAACATCAGTAGTTCTCATGTAGAACTGCGGCCGATAACCAGCAAAGAAAGGCGAGTGCCTTCCACCCTCTTCCTTCTTCAACACATACACAATGGCCTCAAACTTGGTGTGAGGCGTAATCGTCCCCGGCTTTGCCAAAACCATCCCTCTCTGTATATCAATCTTCTGAATACCTCTCAGCAACAACCCCACATTGTCACCAGCCATTGCGTCATCAAGAATTTTCTGAAACATTTCAACCCCTGTCACAGTAGTGTTTCTAGTATCCTTCAAACCCACAATTTCAACAGTCTCTCCGACCTTAATTGTACCTCTTTCGACACGCCCTGTGGCGACTGTGCCACGACCGGTGATTGAAAACACATCTTCTATTGCTAGAAGGAATGGGAGATCAGTTTGGCGTTGAGGAATTGGGATATAGCTATCCACATTATCCATTAATTCATAAATTTTATCGACCCATTGATTGTCGCCTCTTTTGAGATTAGGGTTTGCCATTAAAGCTTCTAAAGCTAACAATGCAGAACCAGAAATGATGGGTACATCATCACCAGGGAATTCATAAGAGGAGAGAAGTTCTCTTACTTCTAATTCCACAAGCTCAAGCAATTCCTCATCATCCACTTGGTCCTGTTTGTTGAGGAAGACGACCATGTTGGGGACACCCACTTGTTTGGCGAGGAGGATATGTTCTTTGGTCTGAGGCATGGGTCCGTCGGCCCCGGAGACGACAAGGATTGCGCCGTCCATCTGGGCGGCGCCGGTGATCATGTTCTTCACGTAGTCTGCGTGTCCGGGGCAGTCGACGTGGGCATAGTGGCGGTTCTCGGTCTCGTACTCGACGGTGGCGGTGTTGATGGTGATGCCGCGGGCACGCTCCTCCGGGGCGGCGTCGATCTCGTCGTATTTCTTGGGGGCACTGTTGCCCATGGAGGCTAGGGCCATGGTGAGGGCGGCGGTGAGGGTGGTCTTGCCGTGGTCAACGTGGCCGATGGTGCCGATGTTGACGTGGGGCTTCTTCCGCTCGAATTTGCCTCGAGCGGCACGGACGGTGAAACAGCGGCGGCGGCGGACGTTGGTGGAGGGATTGTGGAAGATAACGGTGGAAGGACTGGTAATGAAGGAGGAGGAGAGTGTTAGGTTAGTGGGTTTGGTGCGAGAAGTACCATTTGGGAGGGTACAGATGGTAGATGGGGACGAAGAAGGCGAAGGTGAAGAGTAAGGGTATATGAGGAGCTTTGAGGAAGATGATGTTGTTGCTGCTGAAATTGCCATGGAAATTTTGCGATGGAGTCCAGAATTCTAGTATAGAGAGAGAATCTAGAGAAGAGGAAGAGAGGTTTTGTTCTCAACCTCTCGTACTGGGTTTATCCTTCTCTGCGTCGTAGTAGGTAACAAGAAGGACCGTGGACTGGTGATTTCATGAAATCTCTGTGCTCTCTAATGGCAATGTGACACGTTTAAAATGTTACTGTATTAACTAGGGTGAGAGCTAGATGTGGTTAGTTCGGCTAAAAGTAGTATCTTGCTCCACTTACAGAATAGGACTACTCTGCACTAGTTTAAGTTATCCTTTTTATTTATTTATTTATTATTGGAGTATTATTGTTTTATCCTAGCAAGAAAACTCAAATACAACAATTATTTTAAGGGTTAAAATCATAAAGCTGCCATTACTTTCAAATTTTAATAGCAAAACCCATGAATTTGATCCGTTCGGATCGAATCGCTACACCTACGGATTAATGACAGATTCAAAAAAACTAAATCCGTAGCCGATTCAAAAAAATTGAATCCGTAACTCACGAATCGAATTATGAATTGGGCTTTTAAAATCCGATCCGCAAGATTTATATATATATATTTTCAAAGAATGTATTAGATAATTTAATTAATTAATGGTCATTTAATGGACTCTAGAAATGTAATATTAGTTAATGATCTTTTAAATATATGAATTAATGTTGATAAATTGAAATTTTATCTATTGGGCTATGGCTAAAAAATAAAAAATATTGAATAATTTAAGGAAAAAAAAAAAAAAAAAACAATATTGGACAATTTAAGAAAAACCCCAATTCGCGAATTTGATTCGTCATTTCACGAATTCGATCCTATCCGTTATCCCACGAATCAGTGGCCAATTAAGTTTTTTTCTAATCCGTTGGGAGCAGATCGGATTAGGATTGATGCCTAATCCGATCCGTGGCCATCCCTAGTAAAATTAAATTTTAATTACAAAAATTATGTTTGAAAACTCTATTGATAGTCCCTAAATATTAATTAATTTATAGGTTTTTAAAAGTGTAACAAAATGACTACTCTCAAATCTCAATATACATTTATTTATCTAATCCTCCTGCTTTCACCCGTGACCACCAAGCAATTCAAATTGTATTGATAAATCAAACCATATTCAACTTAAAAACAGGGTAGAAAACGATACGGTGCTAACACAAAGATAATTGCATCAGAGTGACAAATTTACTATCTGCTTCATCACAAATGCCAGTTTGAGGCACTTAGAAAACTCATCAAGTGAAGTTAGGAGTCGAATAAGGCAATTTCACAACCACAATCTGTTTCCAAAAAGAATCAAGAATAACTAAAAGAAAAGAAACAATATAAATCAAGCTTCGAAATATACAACTACATTATTGATCTGAAAGAGAATAAATATAACCAATTTAGAACAGAACAAGTTCTAATCCAACCATCTGGTGTCCACCTGATGGCTTGATTTAGGATGTCCAAGATCAGAACAAGTTCTATTACAATGCGAAGCAGTCTTTTATTCTCAAGTGCTCCATGCTCATACCAAGGATTTAAGAAAAACAAGAATGACAAACACCACCAAAATTCACCTAAACAAGAATTTCAGATACCATTTTGAGCTGAATGGAACAGACTCTATATCTGGTATTTTTGTGGCTTCTCACTTCCTCCATTGCTTCCTTATCAAGAATCTTCAACATACCATATAAAAAAAATAAAAAATAAAAAAATAATAATAAGAAATAAATATGGAATAATGTGTTCATCTATTCCACTAGAAGTAAAGAAAAATGCATGTCTACTATATGTGCCTGGCTGTTTCATCAGGCCCCTTAAATGTCCTTGGGTTACGCTCATTCAACTGTATTTTTACTTTTTTTAACAATCATCATCATAAAGCACATCATTTATTTTTTGACAAGTGAAAGTTTGCATTAAAAGGAACAAAACAAAAGAAAACAGTATAAGGTGACAAAAGAATTCATATTACTGTAAGACCAATACATACTTTTAAAGAGGACATACCTTCATCACCTAACATCAATATATCTAATAGATGTTTTTTCAAAAAACAAGTCTACTACCTCTCTAGGACCCTATGTCACCATCATATGCTTTTCAATTTGCATGAAGTCAGCAAATAACATAAGCTAGAGTCCATCTAAACCTTTGCTCATTTTCCTAATTAAGAATAAACTTCTATGAGCAATTTCATATCATAAAAGTTAAAACACACTGGATACTTATTTAAGATGACTTAAAAGTTAGATACCACAATATTTTTTACAGGTTCTACATGTCATTTCTTATACGTTTAGGTCTTAGAGCATTTTTCCTTCGCTATTTTTATTAATGAACAGAGAATTTTTTTATTAATTAACCAAACAGGGATTTCAATATTTCAAAACCACCAACAATACAATAGATGAGAGGTTCAGTAAATCTTCATAAACCAAGCCATGAGATAACACATACTATTACAGGATTACTTAAAGCTCAATAAACTAATTAGCAACAAATTACACCACCATCACCCAAAAGCTTATGATCCTCTACGGAAATTCCACCGAGTTCTACAACCTTCCCCTATAATCATGTTTTTAGAGTTTCTTTAAATTTTGAGACCCTTAATTTATCAAAATACCTATGAAATTAGCCTTAACAAAGTTATTTTCTCTAACTTAAGTATCCCTGTGAGTTTCATTAAATTATTTTACAGGAAAAGAAATCATACCCATTCTTAATCTCACTCCCTCCTACTAAACTCTTTTACTCTTTAGCTTAGATGCGCTTACCAAAATCTGGTTCTATAGTTTTTCATTTCCCTGTTCTAGCATATCCGTCTTCATCCTTCTATTCATCTTCTGTATCTAACTTAAACATAAATCATGGCACACGGTAGATTGAGCCTCCCCTATGACATTCTTCGCCTCAATTTCACCTTAATGAAAAAAAAATTATAAAAATGGCAATTCTTTTAACATGATCTATTAGCTACAACTAGTAAATTGATCTTCCCCATTTCAACACAACTTTTTCTAGTAGATAGCTCATTCCTCATGGATTCAACAAGGAACTCTTCCCCTACATTTCCAAGATCACACCGTCTCGTTCCACATTCAAGTTTACATACATTGTGTTTTTTGATAAAAGTTTCATTTTTTAAACTCGACCTTACCTCTCTATACACAAGAAATTCACACCACAAACTATATTACAGGATTACTTGAAGTTCAATATAATTGAAGAATGAAGTATGACGATAGAATCACAAAAAATTTCCCCAAATTGCATAATTAGCATACAGAGAAAACAACGCAGTGTCTGAATCTGAACATTAGTCATACCAGTGCCATTGACGACTGAGGAGTGAATTTGGGTAGCGGCCGATATAAGTAATCATCCTCTGAATAATCTGTTGATGTCCCAATAAATTTGACAGAACTGGAGTCTATTTGAAACTGAACTAACAGGTTCCAAAATGCATAGCAAATTCCTATATGATATTAAATTGAAAATCTTTGAGCTGTTAAAAAATGGCTTGTCTTCAAACAAATCAAATGCTTCAATAAATCAATTACATTTCTCTAAAATCAATTTGCAATTAGTACCAGTGATTCATAACAATCCATTTAAATACTACTTTAGTATATACATATGCATATATATATATGTATGTATCGATATAATCAAACATGAATTTATGGCGATCATTCGATTTGCTTACAGTGAGAAAGTTGAATACGGTGATAGTACTCGCCGGCGGCGACAGTGATCGTCCGTTGCAGTGATTTATCGGCGACTAAAGCGCTAGAACTCGGCTGACATAGATGGGGAGGTTTACAATCATAGTAAATGGACGAAACTACCCAAGGTATTTTCCATTTTCTATAGTAGTTTTATAGGCAAATTACACTGACACCCCTAAGATTAGGTCAAATTATACCTAGATGAAGATTTTGATTTTAACTATCATTTACACTCCAAATTATTTTTTTGCCTTTGGCACATGCAAATTGACCTACCCCCATTTTTTAATATAATTTAATACAAAATATCAATGAACTTAAATATGTATATTCAAACTAATACACACACACACATATATATATATACACACGTGATGGCCCAGCAAACTAATATATATTAGACACGATCCACGTGTCAGCAGTCTATTGGTTGTTGACTTTTTTTTATTTATTAATTATAGTATTTTTTAACCAGGTCTCCCCCACCCCCCTCTCTAATGCCATAGAAACCCAATAACCGATAACAAAAGCAAAGGGCAAACAAAAGCCATCGCCGATCCAGTTTTAGTCTCCATCATCGGCACTGGTGTCAGTGCGGTTTGGCAGTCACCAAGTATGGATCACTTACCACTCCTATATACTCCGTATATACTACGCATTAGTTAAGGAAAGAAGGAGATAGAGGGGGGGTTTAAGTTTTGGCCATTTATTAAGTCACATAAATGGGTCATATGGGGTAATTATGTCATTTTATACATAAAACACTATTTTTGTAAGTCAACAAGAAGTCAATAGGGCAACATAGTCATATCACATATAAAAAGTACTTTGACACCACTGAAAAGTGGCATTTGGGGTGTAACTAAAATACAAAATCACTTTTTCAAATATGAGTAAAAGTTAAAACCAAAATCTTCATCTAGGTGTAATTTGATCTAACCTCAAGGGATGTCAGTGTAATTTATCCTAGTTTTATTTATTAAATTTATCTGAAAAAAATAATATAATGACCCGGTCATTTTCATTTCTTTCCCTTTCTTCAAATTTTGCGGATAAATTTTTTTCATCGTCTTTTCCTTTTTGGGTTTGATTTCTCGCCTCTTAGTGTCGTCTCGAGTGCTCGGAAATGGTTTCTGATACTCTTTCCTTTGGATTGACAACTTCCTTTGAGAACCGAGTCATTTCCACATTTTTTGTTTTTTTGACGCTATTCATTTTTTCGTCTTTTCCCTTTTTCGTCCTTTAGTCGTTTTCATTTTTCCTTACTTAACCTCACTTTTTGTGCTCGGATTTGATTCCAGCTTGGCATACATCCATGACATTTAAATTCCATGACATCTACATTTTTACTTTTGTAGAAATGCATATTAAATGCTTACTTTCTTTGTAAAAGTCATGAAAACAAGACTTTTTGTAATTATCCATAACTTGAGGGGTTTTTGGGTAATTAAGTAAAGTAATTATTTTTTGTCTTAGGGACCATTTTTCAAATTAAATTGGAAGATATTTTCAAAAAAGACCTTTTTGCAATTTCTGAAAAATGTGACAAGTGTCACATTCCTATGGTGCCACTTGTTGATTTTGTGGTGGAACCACTTGGACACTTAATCTCATGACACATGGAGGGTGAAAATTCACCCACTTGTTGTCCTAGGATTGGTGCACTTGTTGGCATGGATGGTTGACAAGTGTAGGGTTAATATTTAATCTTGGAAGCTTACTTGGATTCATGACAAGTGTAAGACTCACCTTTAGTCTTGCATTAGTGTGTGTGTGAGAGGTAGTGCAAGAGCACCTAGTGAGTGGAGAAGCCTACCAATTTAGCTTAGGGTTTACACATTTTAATTCATTCATCACTTTCCTCTCAAGAACCCTAAGGAAGCCACCAATGGAGAAAAGCTTGACTAGTAACTTTGACTTCATTTTTGGTGCCCTTTCACTCACCTTAGAACTTTGAACTTGGAATACTTTAGGCTCCTCCCACTCCCCTCTACAAAACCCTTGTTTGGTTTTTCATTTTTAAGCTCGGTTGCCTTGGATTCAAGAGGAACAATCCTCTTGTGAGGTAAGGGGTGTTATTATTTATCTTTCAAGTGATTTTATTTGTTCCTATAGTGATATCTAAGTTATATGTTTGTCTTGTACTAAAATGAGAAATAAATGATTAATTGTGACTTGTATGTAATTCACTTTAGACTTGATAAATAACATGACTATGGCTTGATTCATAACTTATGTTAATTTGAGGTCATTTAGAGTTGTTTTAAAATCTAGATGGATTAATGAATTAATTTAATTAATTTTTATTTATATGCTCCCATGACTTAAATCAAGTTTTGAAGTGATTTATATAATAACCATGACATATACTACAACATATATTAAATTGAGCATGTTTGTATGAGAAGTGAAATTTAGGGAATTTAGTTGTTTTATTTAATTGTTTAAATTATGTTTCTAAACTTATATCATACTTGTGAGGCTATGTTCTTGTTGTTGAATGATATTGTTGTAATTAGTGGCAAATTGCATAATGATCATTCAATATTCTTCATGCCATTTTAGTTGAGAACTTAGGGCATGTATTGTAAATTGCATATTGCATAATGATCATTCAATATTCTTCATGCCATTTTAGTTGAGAACTTAGGGTATGTATTGTGTTTCCAAAATTGATTTGTGCATGTTGATGGCTTTACATTGTGTATATATATATTATGTTGATACATATATGTAATGTGCACAAAATGTTGATTTTGGAAACTTGGGGATGTCGTTGTTATGACTATGGCTAGGGCATGGTTCTAGTACGGAGGAAAGTCCCTCTACAAGTCTAGTGCGCACATAGGGAGGTTACTCATGGGCTAGTAATCCTAAAGTAACCACATTGTCGGTTTGATCCGTCGTGACGTCCAAGTATCCACTTTGGTTTAATTTTGCATTTAAATTCCAAGTTGTTAACTTTGTAAAATTACATCTCATTGTGTTATGTTGAAAGTTCTACTGTCACTTGATAGCATGAATTAAATGGTATTGGATTGTAACTTGGTGCAAAGATAAACCCATGCATTCCCTACGAGTAAACTTGTTTACTCACCCCTAAGTTAATGGGTGTTTTGCAGGTAAAGAAGTCTTAGTGTGGGATGCACAACATTCTTAGACTTACTAAAGTTCTTGAAGTATTTTGATGACATAGAATATGCATATGTTAGCATTTCTTGTCCTACTTTTACTTACTTTGATAAAACTTGTACTTATTGTCTAAGTTATGTAATGTGCACTTAAGTACACCTTTTGACACTCTTAGAATGTGGTTGTAATGAGGCCAAGGGCCAAAGACACTTATGTGAAATGTATGCTAACTTTGAACTTCATTGTTGCCTATGGAAGATATGTGGATTAATGCATTGAAGGATTCTATTTTGCATATGACATGCCATGAGGCCATAGGCCATTGCAACACATCTATTTTATCACATTACATATGCTTGCATGCTCACTTTGGTAAATAACACCATCCTTGATGAAACAAAGACTCTAAGTAGCATTTTTAGGGAGTTTTACCCTATTCTGTTCTAGGGGCATTTCGGGTATTTCAAAATGCTTTTTTTTTCATTTTTCTTTACAAGTCACATAGAAAACTCAATTTTGAGGGGGGTTTCTTCTTTGTATTTTTCCAGAAAATGCCATATTGGCCCTCAAAAATCTATTTTTTTTTCTGAAAAATCATTGCTGTCAGGTTTTTGCCGACTTTAGTGCAAATATACTTGGTACTATTCATCGACTTTTTTTTGAAAAGCGTGACGACCGATCCGAAACTTCCGGGAGTCTTGTGGGTGTATTTTAAGATTGCATTTTCAATTTAGGCAATTTAAAAACCTTCCGAAGCCCCATTTCCTTTCTTGGGCAGTAGCTTGGAACGATTTTTGACCTCTAGACCTGATTTTCTTGAGGGTATTTTGGACATTTTACAATGCATTTTTTTGGTTTCCATTCTTAAGTCGGGTAGAAAACTTGATTTTAGGGGGGTTTCTTCTTTGAGTTTTTCCAGAATAGTCCTTTAGATGCCCGTTTTTACTCTCAGTTGCAGTAGTAGTGGGTTGACGGCACTGTAGCTGTCACGGCCTTCGTCGGGCCGCCGCGACGTCGATTTTGTTTTTGACGTTTCTCCCTTATCCGGACTCCAAATCAAGTGAGTTTTTTTTTTTTTTTTTTTTTTTTTTTTTTTTTTTTTTTTTTTTTAATTGGTTAATTTTTCATTGTCTATCCAACGATGTACTCAGTTGTATCAAGATATTTCTGGATAATTACCAGTTTACCCTTTTAGCTTTATTACTCGTTTTTCTTTGTTTTGTCGTTTCTCGTTCGTCCGGAATCCGGATAATGAAATTTTTGAGTCTATCATCACTAGTTTTTCATTGTCTTCCCAGTGGTGTGCTCGATAGCACTTGAATCCATTTTTTTGCAAAATGACCATTTTGCCCTAGGTTCCTTTTTGTCCGTTTTTGAAACGACACTTTCGCATTTGTTTTCCTTTGGATTCCATGACCTCATTGAGGGTCACATTGGTGTCTTAGAGACGCATTGTATCTCTAGAGACCGTTGTTTCACCTTTTGCTTCCGCATTTCGGATCCGTTATCGGGTCATCTTTTGGTCATCACTGACGCATCGGGTTTACAAAACTTGGGCCGTCACAAATAATATATATATATATTACTCAATGAATAAAAAACTCTCTACTTTCTTTTAGTAATATCTGACCCATAAATGCATCAATAGCTTGACATAATCCCCTCAATGCAAACCTTATTCCTGAAAATTCAAGCAAAACACTAAATAGTCGCCCAACCAAATAGTCATTTCTTTATAAATAGTTACTTTCTTTTAACAGTATTCACACTTTACTTTACTACCATTATACTTCAATTTTAAAAGAAATAACACTTATAACCTCACCTTTATAAAAAAAATAATAATAGTGATATGTTTTTAAATACCAAAATTACCTTTTCTGATGTGGAATGATCTTTTTACTTTCCTCCTCTCTTCAATCTTTAACGTCTTTTGTCTCTTGAGCAGTTTTTGATT